GCGAGTTTGGGTCCACTTGCAACGTCTTGTCATTAAAGCGAAAATGCCCCAAAAATATTTAAGAATGAGAACAGTTTTGTATTTCCTCGATTGACACATGTTTTTTGCTCATCTCATTACCTCCTCGTTGACATACATCTCATCATTGGACTCTCTCTATAGGCTGTTTGGTGCATGGTTCTGCCAAAAAGGCATTTTTCCCCCTGTGTTGTTTTAATTAAGAACAAAAGAGGTTGCAACACTCAGGGGGCCGAGCTGGCACTGCCACTGTGTGCTCTCTTTCTGTCGCCGCGTTTCTCTTTTACTCTTCTCCATTGCAGAGAATTACATGGCTTATGCTTCATCCCTCTTGCCTCCCTCCCTCCCTCTTCAGTCATCCTTCATCGGCCTCTCTTTTGTTTTTCTATCCATCCAGCAGCTCGTGCGTGCACTGTAGCTCCCATGTTAGCATAGTCACCCACGTTTTCTTTTTCGCTGACACACATGACTGCCCTGTTGACTTTGATCCTCAGATCTTGGTATCAAGAGACCATTCACTCAGTTGCCTTGGGGAGGTGACAGCAATGTCTGTGTTTTCCTTCTGTGTGCAAGAGAGAGAAAGTGCAAGATGCAATAAGTGGAGAGTAAGAGATGACAGACGCCGTGATCCAATATTTTCTCCTCTGAGATTTTGGGTTGGTTTCTCTGTTCAGTCGCTCTGTGACAGGTGTGACATGAATCTAACCTCTTTGCATCTTTGTTGTTGCCTCGGCTGTCTCTGATCCTCTGTTCTCTATCACTGGATATTGCAGCCACGCTGATGAAACTATTGATGTTGCCACTCTTTTGTTTGCTCGTCCGTTCAGCCATTCAGATCCAGAGCTGTAATTTAAAGAATCAATAGTAAGCTGATGGAACTATGCTAAAGCCGTTCTCATCCTCTGAATCTGGGACGACACATATGTGAGCACCGGTGAGTGCTTTCCCCTCATTTGTCCACGAGGCAGTCCTCCTCTCTTGCATCGCTTCTATTACAACGCACCATCTGCACCTGCAAATTACAACATAATTACGAGTAATAAATCACATGGCATGTTTTTCAAACCCAGCAACATGAAAATTAAAGTCCAGGGTGAACAAAATTGTGCTTGTGTTTTTAATTCTAATAAAGGAACCCACTGCAGTTCCTTGGCGCCTGATTTTTATTTATTTATTTTTATTTTGCTTACAACCATCTTAGTCAAAACTTATAGAGGAATCCTGGAGTTCCGACGTATTGATGTATCCGGTGTGGCAGGATATGACACTGAAAGGAAACCCTGTAGGTCGAAGCTTTGCCAATCAGCCCGTCCAGTGACCGGCATCTGACATCTTCTGCTAATGATGTCCACTCCTCAGCGATAACCACCATACATTACAAGACAAATTATCTCCCAGTCAAATAGCCAATTTGGATTAGTGTCATTCTCACGCTAGCGTTCGACCTCTGGTTTTCTGATTAGGTGTCTTTCCCCCCCCATTCCTGTTGTAGACTACCCTTGTTTAGTTATCGAAAAATCATGCAAATTGGCTGTAAATTGAACAACGGAACACGGGACGAACACCAGTAAGGAGAAGGACAAAAGAGTAAACGCTTTGTGCTCATCTGACCACCCGTCCATCTGTCTGTGTGAGTGTGTGAGTGTCTCCGTGAACGGTGCCCAGGCGCCTGCTAATATAGGCTTAATGAAGTGCCACGGAGATATGGCGACCAGACAGAACTGTCCGCACTCACAGATGTGAAACTTAATGAGAGAGTGAGGAGCGATGTCCAGGAGCCAGGCCAAGAGAGACGATGGCCACCTGGTATTTATACGAGCATGAAGGTGTTAGTGGTGTGAGTGTGTTCGAGGCTTTGATAAGAGGTGAAACAGGTAGTCAGTGTTGTCAATGAGGAGGTGTAACAACCTTTCTTTGGACTTATGATTGTCGGGTAATTAATGAAACTGTGGATCGGTATAATGCTAGAAAGAGCAAGGGTTGCGGCACAGATTTACATCAGCGTGTTAATCAACAGCTAATCTTGCAATAAGCAGTCGGTTGTACGGTTAAGTCTTCACATTAAGCCTCATTTCTCTTATTTCAATTAAGCAAAAGGAGGCGCTTGAAGGGAGCTTAGGAAGCCAGCTGCTGCCTCTGTAACGTTTCCGACAGCTCATCTCCTCCTGAGTCTTTGGGAGCATTAGTCTCTCTGCGGGGAGTCGTGCTGCCGGCTAGCTAGCTATAACCACCACAGGCTCATTCTTAACAACACACCTTAGCCTCAGGTGAGAAAGTGGCCCGGTGTAGCACCGCTGATAGCGCTCATTAGTCTCCAGATTAGCCCTGATTAGCCTAGCCCTTACTCCCACTGATGTGCAATGCTAATGCTAATTATGCATCTACCGCTTTACCCTTTTCAGGCAAGCTGTGGGGCCGAGGTCCATTAGCTTTTTTATTCTCCAATGACTTTTTCTTGGCTGCGGATTCAACTCTATGCACACTGCATAGAGTTTTTCACTTGAAAGTGACTTTCAAGAGAAAAACTCTTTTAAAGATGCACTTCACGTTGGATAATGTGAAGAGATGTTGCTGTTCAGACAGAATATCATGATAAAGTTTACCGGACTTCAACATTGTGCAGACAGAGATCACCAATGAAAGCTGCTGTGAAATGAAAAACAACGTGTAGAGCATATTTAAGGACGGGTGCTCGGTGGTTAGTTCCAAACCTGAGCTGTTTCTCAATTTAGGGGCCGCATCCTTCGTCGGGCTGCATTCGTAGACCAATTGCTTCACAGAGGCCCCCAGGATTCATTGACTGTTTTTCAAAGATGTAATGGTAGCAAAAAGCAAGGCGAAAACTCCCCAACCGAACACTTAACGGCACACAAGAATGTTTCTGTCTGTAGCTTTGTTGCTGGTGACGCAATAGGAAGACAAGACTGTCTCATTTCGGTTTGGCCGTCGAGTGTACGCGGCAGTTGGAGGCTACATCCGATGTTAGCTGCATAGCCTTGGTCCTCCACAGGATGCGGCCACTTAATTGAAGAACACCTCTGGTTAGGCTGGGGTGTGTCTGTAGATTGGGGTTAGATATGATATAGGTATGAGTCAGTGTATGTCAGGCCTGTGATACGCTGGCAACCTGTCCAGGGTGTACCCTACCTTTCACTCAGGGTCAGCTGGGACTGGCTCCAGCTCCTCATGTGACTGTCAAAGAACAGGTATTATAGAAAATGGGTGAACAGATAATTAAGGAGGAGAAACCTGATTTCACATCCAGTCCATCTAACAGCTTTGTGTGAGTTTAACAAAAACATAGTTTGCTCTGACTTCATTCCACATGAGTGTTCATAGTCGTGATGAGTGTGACATTAAAGCAATGCGAAGGCTGTCACAGACATGATGGGATTGAGATGAGGCAGAGGAGCCTTTAATTCGCACTGTCCTCTCATCTCCGTCATTGTCAGTGGATGTGAGACGGAGTGTGGGGGAGAAGGTCGGACAGGAAATCAGGAGGAGATGGACGACCAGATAACCGCACGGAGCACACGAGCGGAGCACAGGGGGTGCTGGAGAAAAGTGGTGGCTTCTATTGAAGTTGGGTGCCATGCTGATTTTCAGTGGCAGCTGTGCATGCTGACTACATATTACGGAGATGCTGACACAAATCCAAACTGATCTGCTCGATTTGTTTGAAATTCAGCTCTCACCTGTCTCACAGTACGACGTGCATGTCTCTCAGCAGCCTCGTAAGCAAAATAAAAGACCTTGTGTGTCCGGACAGGGTGTTGTCTCTATATGTACTCTCTGCAAACAACTGCAGAAAAAACATTTAGGAGAAAAAAAAAACCTGTTTTGGGAGACATCGATGTACCTGAGTGGACATTTTGACCCAGATTCCCTCACAGCCTGTAATCCTACTGGACAGTAATGTTCAAATGTGGCATGTCTGACTCCGACAGATTATTCTACTTTTTGTTTGTTATCTAACTGAGCTGATTAACGTTCACCCCAAGCAAACCTCAGGATTATGAAATGTGATTGCTTAGTGATAACCTGGTTTGTTTTCTGTGAGTTAAAAGAGCATAGTTTTTGTAAGGTAAGAAAAAACTCGACCTGTTTTCCCTCAGTTTGTTAAGCAAACTACATTTTCCGCTCGAGATAGCAATGCTTGCCAGCTGTCAAGGCTTATCTCCGTCCTCTCTGCCAGTAGAAAGTGCCAGTCAGCTCCTTTGCACTGGTTAACTTCCTTTTAAGCTCGTGCTGGGTGTGGAAAGGGTTATTACAGATTGCTGCCTCTCCGATTTGTCTCTTGAACAGTGATTTTCCCAAGTAACTTCTGGCAAGAACTCATCACTGGCTGTTTTGGGGGTTTATCACCCCGATGTTTCACTTCTTGCAACATTGAGAGGAAAGATGTAGTTTAAATTCTCATTTATTCGCCATTATGAAGCGTGTGAAAGAAGATACGTCCGAATTAAATTACGTAACCACTGTTCACATACTTCCATGCTACCTTTACGCTGGTGTGGTTGTTAAGTAATTCATCCACGAGAGGGCAGCGCAGAGTTGAGAGTTTCTGACAACAACAAACATGTCGACGGTAGAGGAGGTTGTGATGAAGTACATTTAAAGAACAAAGCTGTTAGCCCTGTGCCCAAGTGAAGTAACATATGGATGCTTGTAGTTTCTTACCAACTCACAACGTGTATCCTACAAAAAGTCTGCCAATGTTGAAATTTCTTTCTCTTGTTTTTTTTATTTTCACTTGAAGTATTGGTTACACTACCCCTCATGATTTCTGGTGGTACTGCGATTTGTCCATATCTGTAAGCTTTTAAAAAACGTGCACAAGTACTGATGAAGTGAACGCGGGTTACGGACAAAAGGCTTCATCTGTTTCCTGTTGAGCATAAATTATTATTAGAACCTAATTTTTATTTCTGTCATGCTAATCAAATCTCTATTTTTTGTCTTTCTTTTCTTTCCCTTTACAGGTGGAGCGAGAAATAGCTATTCTGAAGCTCATAGAACACCCACACGTTCTAAAGCTACACGACGTCTACGAAAATAAAAAGTACTTGTAAGTATCAACAGTGTATTGTGTGAAATTGTAAAAATACTGGCCACACTAAGTGCTTCCACAGATCATTCTGTTGGACCAAGAAGCAGTTTTGATTGGTGGATAATGATTGCAGGGCTACAGTGATAGCCTTAGAGGGGCGGATGCTTCATTAGTACGGGCATGAAGCATTTAATTTGGTCACGCACGCTAGGGGACTGCTAATAGGGAGAGGAACTCTCCGCAATGTAAACACCATGACACGCTTATCAGAGGCAACACCATTGCATCCAGAAACATTAGCCCTGGAGAGTGGCAGGCACATTAGTCTGCTGCAGCAGCTGTACACAGACACACACACACACACATGCTCACATAAATCTATTAGCCAACTTTCACAGTGGTGACTGACAAGCCCATCAGTAGTTTATTGTAGCCCTCTTGATCTGCAGAACACAGTTTGTCAACTAAATTCAATTAGTTGTCATGTTGAGTTTACAGCCCAAATGCGATTGAGCATGCAGAAGTGCACATCTCATACTTTAAGATGATAGGAAAAGCAGAATATTATGATTCACTGTATGATTGGATTATCAAAATCACATTTTGTGCCCATTGCTCCCTCACTTTTGACTCCTGGTCACCAGTAGCATCACAGAAGACAAATTGACAACGTTGATGTATTTTTTCTCTTAATATTGTTTGGATTCCCTCTCAGATCTCTTTTACTTGAAAGACGATAATTGATAGGCAAGCAGCACGTTAGGAGCCGGCTGTCCCAGAGCTTTTAAGATTTATTATACTGTCGGCAAAGATCCCACCACAAGCTGTTTAAACTGAAGTGATGTGTGTGCACAAGAGGTGAGGGAGAAGTGGAAAGAGTTTGATACATAGCCCGGCAATTTATTATTTATAGATATTTCATTGCTTGAAATTAATGAATGGTCGTATCATGTTGATATAGCCTGTGCTGAGAGTGAAAAATGATCGCTGGGAAAAAAAAAAAGAGCTATAGTGCATAAAGCATGTGAACACAATGCACATGTGCTGTTTGATTTCACATTTGTGCTGCAGTAGCAATATGATAAATAGTAATGATGAGTTATTTTTAAGACCTGCTCTTACATCCAAGCTGCCATCAAGACACATTAAGGCCAACTGCAGCATCTATTGCATCCGTTACATTATTGTATGTATTGATATTTGCCATTATGGAGCTCATAGAAAATAATACAGGTTGAAATTTACATACTCTGATCCTCATGTTGCTCCAGTTCTTAAACGTGACCTGCTAGCATCTCTTTACTTGATCATCAACAATACTTTTTAAGCACAGTTGATGCAACATTTTATTTTCACAGCTTTTAGAAAGCTCACCTTCAGAGCATTATACAATAATATACTGTCATAACTGTTGTAACGTGATGATTAATACTCTGCCAAGTATACTGCTCATAATCTGTCAAGTAATTTCTATAGGTAGAATCAATCAATTAAAAATGTTACCTTTAAAACTCAGAAGAAACTTAAAACTTTGTGGAATTGTTTTCTAAACATTCATATTTTAGTCATATTGAATAAAAAAATATATTTTTAAATGCCTTCATGTTCGGTGATGGTATTGTTACACAGTGACCAAGCCACTGAGGTTTTTTGGTTTGAAGGGTTTAGAGTTGTTTAGTGAGCACATGCTCTTTGTCCATGTACAGTTTGCAACACTATAGTATAATCAATAAAATCAAAGTGGTGCGGTCACACACACACATATACCCACAGCAGGGAGAGAGAGCGAGAGAGAGGAAAGAGTATTTCACTGCCTGTCTGAGATTCAATTTGTCCTAGTGAAGATAGAGGGAGTTTTCAGCGTACGATATACGAGCAAGCCGGTGCGGAGCAGGAGCACGGCACCGCTGGCTCCCGGCCCACAGATGCAGCTTCAGGCCTGGGTCAGCAGGGATTCATCTCCTTCCTGTCCCTTGGAGCCACAGAGCATCATGGCTGTTCAGTCAGGTTGACAAACTGCGCCCACTATGATCCCAGACCTGAAGAGTGGCCGTATGAAATGTGATGGCAAGGATGATGTGTGTGTGTATGCATGTTTTCAAAGCAACACACAACTTCTGTATGCACCGATCATCCACAACGTTAGATTCAGTAACTGGACACATATTATGTTTTTTCAGTTTTCCCCTTTTCCTCTCATGCTAGTGTATTAAAGCTCCTCTCTCCAATGGTAAACACTGCTCCTGAAGCTCCTCAAACTTCTCAGGCCGATACTCCGGCACCATTGTGATGTCACATGACATTACTATGTACAATGCATGCATAGCATAGCCTGGCCTACCCTCTCTGCTCGCGCTTTAAATGGTAAATGGTCTGTATTTATATCGACGACCTCTCAAAGCACTTTACAGTTCAGTTTTTTGCCGTTCACCCATTCACAGACACATAAACACACACAAGGTGCATCAGTGAACAGCACTTCTTCTGTGAGGCGCAATTTAGGGTTGGGTATCTTGCCCAAGGGCACTTCGGCATGCAGATGGGGAAGACTGGCATCGAACCACCAACTCTACCCCGTCAGCTGTAACATGCGAGCAGAGACCAAACTTTAAAGAGACAGAGGCTAAAACAAAGCATTTCAGACAGCAGCTGAAGAGGGGATCTACAGCAATAGACAGAATGAGGGCATTCTTCTGAACATTAGAGATGGTAAAACTTTTAAATTAAAAAAACTAAATAAAATTATGAACCTGAATATGAGCAGAATATGTCTCCTTCAATGTTGTGGCAGATCGGTGTATAAGGAGCTGGATCTTCCAATATCTTTCTCGCTGCTTCTCTTTCTTTATTTCTTTCTCCTTCACTTCACACTTGTCTGGGAACAGTGTGCGCCATATTTTTGTTGTTGTATAATACAACTTTATCATCGCTCTGATGCCTCCCATAGGAGGTCAGGGTGTTCAATATCACAGCCATTCACATACAGAGTGTATTGTAATACACTGTCGGCAGGCTTCACTCTCTGACTGTGGGGACAGCTTACAGATGACAAAATAAAAAAATAGTCAACATGATACGGCTTTGGAGAGATCAGATCATTGATCCCGGGTGCTTTGTCTGCATGTAATGGCTACAAGGGAACAATTTTTCCCTCGTTGCTCCAGCTCTTACAGACGTCTGAGGTCGGAGCCTCTCATTCTTCTTTTCTACAGGATCCTTCAGACGGCTCTGTGGAGAGCATCACTGTTTGTTCTTGTCTCTACGAGAAGAATCTTTCTTTTCTATGCGTGCATGAGTTTTTTTTTTGTCTCCTGCAAATTCCTCTTGTTTCATCTTTCATTCTTCCCCTTGCTCCCTCGCCTCCCTGTCTCCCCCTCTCCCCCTCTTTGTCTCTCAGGTACCTTGTGCTAGAACATGTGTCTGGTGGTGAGCTGTTTGATTACTTGGTGAAGAAAGGCAGGTTAACGCCAAAAGAGGCCAGGAAATTCTTCAGACAGATCATGTCTGCGCTGGATTTTTGCCACAGTCATTCCATATGGTAAGTCAGATGATCCACCTGTTGAAATATTTGCCCCAGCTGCCTCGACTCATGTCAAGGGTTGGGGTGGACTGATGGAAGTGCGCTGATCCCTGGGGAATCCCAAGTATCTTTCACTGATGAGATTTTTCACTTTATGATATTTGGAAAATAACGATACGATCATATATAGGTTTCACCACACATTGAAAAAAGTGCTTATAGGTTTATAAAGTATATAAAACTCACAAATGTGAATCTGTATACACGCAGCAATACATTGTACCCGATATAAGAAATTAACTGTCATTTGCACATCGTTCAATAGAGTACAGTGCACATAGATTAGTAATAATGGTACTAATACACTTCAGTACTTTGCAAGAAGAAAAAATGATAGGATAGAACACTAACATACCCCCAGACTGGTTCATTGTATAGTTATAGAGAACAGTAAACACCATAGTTTATATAATATTGTGGGTACTTAGAGGAACAACCATAAAAGCCACATTCATTATGTGCAATCCATAAAAACAACATTACATACAGTTAAAAGGGCCCAATAAACAACCATACCCAGGAGGTGTAACAAACTCAATTTGGTCGTCATACAACATTGAACAAATAATGAGTTTCCAAATAATGAATTCTGAAATGATAGAGGTTCTTCCTGAAGTGAATCAACAATCTAAATTCCAATCAGTTTATTCATAGCCTCAGAATGCTGTTTGGTTTTCAAACCAATGATTCAAAATATGAATTCAACTTTAAGTTTGCTTGTTGAAAAACTCTTTTGTCTCAAGGTTTGTTGTATCAGATATCAGATCTACTCTAGTTATACTCTACTCTAGTACAGTCATGCTCTAGTACAGTTATATTCTAGTACAGTTACACTATAGTACAGTTATGCTCTATTCTAGTACAGTTATTCTCTAGTACAGTTATATTCTAGTACATTTATACTCTAGTACAGTTATATTCTTGTACAGATATACTCTAGTACAGTTATGCTCTAGTACAGTTATTCTCTACTCTAGTACAGTTATGCTCTAGTACAGTTATTCTCTACTCTAGTACAGTTATACTCTACTTCCCTGTATTTGTTGAGCTCAGCATTCATGTTTCTAACCATTTACCATCTTGCCATCTCAAATTATTCAGCAGCAACTTTGCAGAAAAGAGGAGAAACATTTAAAGATGAGTTGGGGAGAAAAACATGTAGTTGATTAATTCTGGTGTGATTTCAAACGACATTTTCATATTCAGTCACTTGCTGTTATGTTTGCTGTTCCCTTTTGTAACCTGCTTTTACCTAAAAGTCAATACGCCAATTGTCACAATAACATAAGCCATTCAGAGTGTAGATGTAATGTTTATTACATTATTATTCTAATTACATTTTTTTCATTAGAGTTTGTCAGACATTTACAATTTTCCTATCAGATGAATCTCCAGAGTGTAACAACAGTGGAGACTGCTGAGAGTGGATCAAGGGTGCAGCACATTATTAGTTTGTTTGCTTGCTGCTCACTCTGCTATAACATTCACAGGCAGGGGCATCAAATTACAAACATTAACATATCATCATAAAACTCATCATAAAAGCCATGGTCAGGCCATGGTCGTTGTCTTCTCATCGACACAATGACTTCTAGCCAGCCAGTCGACTCATGATGGGAATTTATGTGATCCCATCATAACTTCTTTGCCAAGGCTAATGTGGCAGAAAACGCTAGAGAGGGAGAGAGGATTTTATTTTTACTCTCCAGTGCACAGTCGAGCATACTTGAAAGTTTTTTCGGAACAACGCTGTCGACGAAGGGGAAACCAATCCTGTGAAAATGCAGTCATGGTGTACTACTCCTCACGCTTAATGCCTGGCAGATAGATTTGCATAATTCTGCACGGGCAATTAAAAGGAACAAATTAAACTGATTCGTCATGGGATGATTAGGTACCGTATGAAGTTGTGCGATTTGATCTATTTCGTAATCTTGTACAGTATAGTTTCTGCTTTTAGTAATAAAGCCATGTGGGAGCTGTTATGCACAGTATGAGCTACTGACTCCTCGTGTCCAAATTACTTTGCATTTCACTGATTATCGGAGGATGATGATTTGCTTGCGTTCAGATGATTGTTTGAACCGTTAAGTAGGTAGTTGATGAACTCAGGGAGAATTAAAACCACTGTAGATTATACTTGTGTCACTGGAAATAAAAAAAACTGCCCTCTATGGGAATGAAAGTTAGAAGTCTTTTATCGATTAGGATAAAGCATCTGGGACTGACATTAAGTGTATGCACATGCACTACATTGATTATCACAGCTCTTTTGTCGTAAGATTCAGAAGCAGATTTATCAAACCCCTCATGTTTTATTTCGTTGCCATCTCTCCGTCTTAGCTCATAAAATCCTCTCAGTAACACGCTTAGAAAATGATGCCCTGCAAATCTATGGTGAGGAGGATTATTTAGGTTTTTCCACATCCTCTCGCCCTCCTCCCAACGTTAATTAGGGGCAAACAGACAGCCGCAGTGCTGCTCACATCCCCTCCATTCCCCATTAATGAGATCTCAGCATCCCCTCAATAAAGAGTGTTTCTGCAATCATATCTTCCATTTTCTTCTTCTCTGCTCGGGGGGGGGGGGACCTGCACAGGCCATAAGAGGTGCCCCCTTTTCTCTGTGACTCATTGCTCAGATGAACAAATGCTCCTCAGCTCTCCTTTTCTGCACAACGCCTGTTTTCTGTGTGCTTCCATCCTCAGCCTCCGTCCCCTATTATCTTTCTTGAGCTGTGTGTGGATGAATGAAAGAATGTAGAGGAAAACGGCTGTTTCTCACTCACAAGTTCTCTCTCCCATCTCATCATGTGTTGTTTTACGTGCAGGGAGAGAAAGGGATGACGCACAGAAGGAAGATGAGAGAAGAGTCGGCAGGGTAGGCAATGAGCAGGGAAAGGAATAATCAGTAAAACATATTTAAACGTAGATCCCAGCTTCGACTACACAGTTAACATCCTCCAGAGAAGTCGATGTAGTCTGCGATAGACAGAGACACTCATTGATTGAGAGGAGTAAAGTGTGTTTTTCCTGAACACATAATCTTTTTACCCATGCTTGTGCATTAACTGAGGTTAAGATTACACAAAAGAAAGAAAAGAAGAACAGGATCATTTGATTTGGTGTCATTGTTTTAACCTGTGTTCCTGACAGGATTTTAAATTTTGGGTGGACACAGATTAGATAGATAATATTGTTTTGAAGATGCTTCACCACAAATCTTTTAATTGTCAGAGACTCTCACAAAGAACAACATACTATGCAGCTTCACTTCCTCAGGTTGATGAGGGTCAGATGTTGTGATTGGACTTTCAGCCATGTGCAGCACGTGATACCCACGTAGAGAGGTTCAGTGAAGAGACAGGCCGGGACGGTAAAAACGTTTTATGGTCACGCAGTGGGATTTCTGCCGGTGCCCGCTATGGCCAGATGTGAGAGATGGTGAGATGGAGGGAGAAAGAGCGCACAGCTTGAATGAACAGTGGGAAAACCAAAAAAAATTAACATGAGTCAGTTTAGATATTGTGACGGGAGGCAACATATAAATCAATGTATGAAGAACACTGCACATGTTTTGCTGCAGTCAAACTAATATAGAAAGCACCTACAGTTGCTTTATTTCCCGTGATAAACCAAGTGTATCATGTTATTCTCATGTGAGCAATGAAGATACATCGTATTTATTTTTTTTTTTCAGTTTCCAAATCCACGCTGAGATTATATCCATGATTCAACCAGAGGTGAACGAGAGGGGTTGACACCAAACACACCCCTGTATCACACCCCGTGTCATCTCGTCCACCCACTCCACATCACACCACTTTGTCTACACGGAGATCTGCCTGACTTAAACTACACCGTACCTTGTTCATGTGCATGAGCAATCACACACTTTCGCAGCCACTCACACACACACACATGCCCGCCCACACACACACAGAAGCACAATTATCAATGAAGGATGTCACCTCGACTCCAACGCGCTCTGTCCACTGTGTTTGTGTTTGTTAAGATAACGACTGTCAGGTGAAGTACCTCCATCCATTCCACTTGGTCCGGCAGACATTGCTGGTGGACTTTGGAGGAGAAACCTGCAAATAGACCTTCGTCGTACGTGCTCTCACACACATTCACACAGTCACACATCGTCCCATCGCTGACACTGATGTGCACAAACTGCACGTGTCCAAACAAACACCTGGTCCAGACGTCACATTAAACCCACACAGTGGCATAATAACGGGCATCATCCATATCCACTTTTCTCTCGGTCTCCCACACTCACTCCGTCATTACCTGCTTTAGTCTCTTCCCGAGGCTCAGAGAGTCACATGCATCTGTCTGTGGCATCACTGGTTTATAGCACAGAGGGAAATAAAGAAAGCCACAGGTCCTTTTAATTAAACAGCGTTTATCTCTCTTGTAAGATATCATCAATATTGTTTGAATATTCAACCATGGCATATACAAAGTAATGTTTTTGTTGACATTGGCATTTGCTTGCATCATGTTTTTGGGGTTTTGCTTCTGTCCGTCTCCTTGTGAACATGATATTTCAAGAACACCTTGAGGGAGTAAACTCAAATTTGCTACAGATGTTCATTTGGAACTGAAAATGAACTGATAACATTTTAATGGTCAAAGTTCACGGTGGCATCACAAAACAGGGTTTTTAAACAAGATATCTCAAGTCTGCCTCCAGGGAATTTCTTCAAATTTGGATCAGTTGTCACCTGGACTCTAAGGTTAAGTAATAAGAGCTGAGAGGTCACAGTGACGTCATGAGTATCGAGAGATTTAATGTAGAAGTGCACTAGTCAGCAGACCTTTTCCACCACAGGATGGTAATCCTAGTCTGGCCAACATATAATAACCATAACTCTGTGCATGCACATTTATGATTTGTGTATTAACAGAGTAAAGAAGCCAGATATTTGAAATATTATGTAAGAATCA